CCCTTTTTCCTAAACACAACACAGGCGCGGTGGAAGGCTGAAGCAGAATTGGGTTCATGGGTATCTGTTTCGCCCTGTGGCACGTGGATGTTGCCCAGGTTCTCATGCCAAAATACGGCAGGCACCTCCAGCTGCAGGAGCGTGACCGGGGGCTCTCGGGTGGTGTGAGGGAGTAGCTGACCCGGAGGAGGATAGGTTGAATTGGAAGAAATGAGGCAAAACTGGGAATTACCTGCAGCAGCCAAATGCGTTTCTCACTGGTGTCCTTTTTTTTTTTTTTTGGCCGCAGGGTTTTTGGCTTCTGGGGGTCACTGTGGGTCATCAGCAACCCGCTTCTGCTATGCGAGTGCTGCTGTTCTTGAGTCTTCTCAGCAGTTCTTCCAAAATACATTGCACTCTCTCTGGTGTGGCTCAATGCAGGTGGAAAGAAGCTTTCTAGGACCATTTCTTCTTTTTTTTTTTTTCCCCATATCCCTTTTTAAATTGCTCTTTGCTGTGAGCTGTAAGTAGTTCCTGCCCCGCTGATGGCAGCCGCCAGCAGGGAGGGGATTGCGAAGAGCGTGCTTTGCCCCGCCTGTATTTCTGTGTCTCTTGTCTCATGTCTTACACCTAGGCTGAAAGCTCCTTTGAGGAAGGAGGACACAGTATGTGTTTTTACATTGTCAGGGAACAGTGGCATCTTTCAATCAGGTACTTTGTAGTTGTGGTTATGAACCGGGAGAGAGGTGAAAGTGCAATTTATGTTTGGTGCTCCGCAGTGCACAAGAGTTACTCGCCTGCAAGAGCAGTGGGAAACGAGTTACAGCCTGACCCTGGAGTTAGGTTTAACCCTGTACACAAGGAACAGCAGAAGATCTAGGTCATGGTAAAGGAAGGCGCTTGATGCATCGAATTTTTATTTGAAGTTGGATATCTAATGCTCAGTTCTTCAAGAAAAAGGAAGGGCAGTCCCGTGGCCGTGGTGCGTGTTAGGTATGGAGTTGGGATGTCCCAGGCTTGTTTACACATTTTAGCACTGAGAGATTCTGGTGGGGCTTCTTGGCACTTCTGTGGATCAGTAATTTGTGTGTATTGTGCAGCAGCCGCCAACACAAAATGCTTGATACAAACGTCCCGAAAGCTGAACACTCAACTTCTGTAACACAGATGAATGTGCAGCCCACACCTCTCTTTAAAATGCAGACCAAACACGGGCCAGATAGTTCTCAGTTCTCGAGAGTGTTTAAAACACGACATGCTGCAGCCTGTAGTTTCCACAAAATGGAATCTTACGAGAGTAGCTGTATTTGAAATTAAAGATGAGGTCATCTGCTGCTTGTTGATTATTGCCTATAGGGTTTAATTTGGCATCCTGCCAAAATCCCAATTTTACTTTCAGCTGAGAAGGATATGGAAACTTTGTCAACACACAGCACACATGACAGTGGCATGGCGTGGCAGTGTGTCACTTTCATGCTTCAGTAGGGTTGTGTACGAAGTATTTTAAAATTGAAACCTTTGTCTTCTACTCTGGCACAGTGTCCTCATGGGTGCTTAACTGCTGCACTTCTCCAGTGGCACAGGAGGCTGGAACAGCATTTGCTGCATACAAGTCAATCTTCAAGCTATGTTTCTGGGAAATTTTGTCTGGTTTTAAGGTTTCTTAAAAGAAAAAATGAAGTGCAAGCTCTGAGCCATTCAGAATTCTCCTTGATGCTCTTGCTGACCATGCAGCAATTTCTAAGATGCAAATGTATGCACAGCTGTGAGACATGATGAAGAATTACAGTTAGTTTGTGGCGCATCATCGGTGTTTGTTTGCAGCTGATTATTAGAAAAGTACACTCCCACACATTGGCACAGAAATAGGTTCTCAAATTCATTGAGTTAGCGCTTTCCAGTGAATTTTTGAAAATGCTATAAAAACTGAATAATGGAAAATGAATAATTTTAATAGCATTTGTTTTCTATTACATACTGGAATGTGATATAAAAGTTAAAATTGTAAAATCCAAATTGAATATTTAAGCCTCTTTATAGCACTCTTTTCTTTTTTTTTTACTTTTTTCCCCACAACATATTTTGTTATTTCATTCTGATTTTGAGATCTGTGAATTTTCTACAAAAAAAGAACAATTTTTTATTTCAAATGGCTGCATTTGTAACATTAAAAGAGGAAAGCTAAATATTTTAGAGAATTTTTTTAAGAGCCTCTTGGTGAAGATGCTCTGGACAGAAGTTTTAAGGAAAGAATCTTCTCTTCCTTTTCTGGCCATTTGCAAATATGAAATAATTAATGGCAACTTCCCTGAGATCCCACCAGGAAGTTTAGCTACTTATTTTTTCCTGTGTTGTGCTATTGTCAATTGCATTTATTTTTTTTTTTCTCCAAGAGAAGCAAGTGTTTTCTGTGAGAGGACATGCTATATTTGAATTAACCTGATGTCACAGTTACCAGGAGCAAAAGATGGGGACAGCTAGCATATGTTACTCCAAGTTTTAGCACTGTGCTATCCCTCTGAAGGCTGAAAGCCAGCTCCATTGTGCTAGGCCGTGTTACATGTAGTGAAAAAGTATTTCTTGTGCTCAGTAACTGGATTTCTTGATTCTTAGGGACTGTCAGCAGGCTGATGTAAAACTTTTAGCTGGATGGAAACAATGGAAAAGAACCAGTAGTAAATCATGGAAAAAAGTCCTCAATGAGGTCAAGGAGTTGTCGTCTTACCTGAAGCTTTGGCGACATGATATTCACAGCATAGGAGGTATTTACTGTCTTATGTCAATCTCTCCTCTTTCAAGTTGCTTCTGTTATTGGCAGTTTTACGTGTGTGAGTGTAGTTTCAGATATAACTGTATGTGTTTAACAAGTTACCTGCTTCCTTTATTATTGCTGATGTAAAATCCATGATGGGGTAGAAGGAAATACACTGGAGGAAATTATTAAAAAGCCACATTTCCATTTCAGTTATGTTGCTGAAAGCCTGCAGTGGTTAAAACTAGCTTTAGTAATGTTTTGTCAGTTAACTGAATGTAACTGAATTGATAATCTGCTCGTTCTGTATTTTCAATGATTTTGGCACATGTTTCTTTATTCCCAGGAAAATTTGGTACTGGCATCCAATCCTACTTCTCTTTCCTGCGTTTTCTGGTCCTACTGAATTTTATAGTTTTTATCCTGATGTTCAGTTTTGTTACACTTCCCAGCATCATTTCTAAATACGGAATATTCAACAGTACTTTTACTAAAATTCTGCCAGAGAACATAGGTAAACGTCTTCTCTACATATTGCTGTTGTTTGTAAGATTCCCCTTTTCCATCAGCTTCTCCTACACCTCCCACGACAAATAAATGCTTTTTTAATAAGAACTTGCCATGTTTGAATTAACTTGATCTTGCAGTTTAATGGGCATTACCATTTGAGTGACTTTTCCTGCCTTTCTTTTGACAGAGCCTCACTGCACAGTTTATAAACCCAGTGATAATAAGGGACTTGTTTACTTCTATACTTACCTCAAAGATTTGCTCAGTGGCACTGTAAGTAATTAGATTTTTTTTTTTTTTATGAAGTTTCTGTGTCTCACATAAGATGTAAAATGTGAAAATGTTCTACTTGGGTAATGAAGCTTTCATAATTTTGAAAAATGATAAGGCATTTGCATCACTGGGGTAAAATCAAGCTTTGTCCTTTATCTGTGAGAAGGCGAGTTTTCAAACTGACTCTTACTGAGCATCCACAAGGCCTGGTTGGCCACATGCTGCAGCCTGCGCCTCTCCTTCCCAGCTGCTCAGTCTCACATGTTCTGGAACACACTGCCTATTGTACTCTCTGTGTAGGGTCTCAGTGTCCTTGTCACAGAGCTCTTTGGAGAGGGGACGGATTTTAAGCATGTAGTGTCTGCATTACAGTTTGGCAGAGGCAATGACAGTATTTAGAAGCTACAGATGGTTGTAACTTGCTGGGGACCCCAATAGTAATTTTAAATTTACAAAATGATTGCTTAATACCAGGTTGGATTTAACTGGGCAGTTGCTGCTACTGTTACAAATTCTATTTAAGCTTCATGTTTTCACAGGGGTTCCTTGAAGACACAATTTTGTTTTATGGCTATTACACAATAGATGCTGCGTGGATCAGTATCCTGAGGTACAACTTGCCCCTAGCATATCTACTGGCTACATTTGCCTACCTTGGATTAAGTGTCCTCTGGATAATAAAAAGGTAAAGATGTTTGTATAATTTATTTACTGCTACCCATAGCACAGTTTACATTGCATTCTTGCCTGTAGGGAACATGCTGCATTCTAGAACTGTTTTATATGGAAATGGATAATCTTTTGCTTGAGGATGCAGTGCCACAGTAGCCTTTGTCTGTCTTTGGGAAACTGAGCCAGCCAAATAAATATAAATACATGTGAAGTATTAGTTTTTCATATATATGCATACATAGAAATAAAAGACCCTCAACTATACAGTAGTTGTTGGAGGATTTTATTTTTGGGTTTTGATGGTGGGTTTTTTTGCCATCTCAGTTTCCTGAGCCAGCTCTTTGCAGTGTCAGAGCTAAGCATTGGATGAGGTGAGAAGGTATGGCTGTGGCTAAATGCAGAAGGAAGTAACCTTACGTAAAGCAAATGCGTAAAGCAAATGCGGCTGTTTGCTCATGGTGGGGGGAGGGAAGGGAAGTGTGTGTGAGTCATTTAGTCTTTGATGAACCAGGTTGCTTGAGGTATGGGGTTTTGTTTCATTTTCTGTGGATAAAGTATGTCTTTTCATGAATGAAGTAAAGTTGCGTTTTTCACTAGGTCTGTGGAAGGGTTTAAGCAGAGCTTGGTGCATGAAGAAGATCAGTTTCAGAGTTACTGTAACAAAGTCTTTGCAGGCTGGGACTTCTGTGTTACAGATCCATACGCAGCACGGCTAAAACATAGCAGCTTGCAATATGAGCTCCAGGTGAGTAATTTTTCTATTACTTCTTCATACAGCTTAGATGGCTAAAAAGGGGATGTGTATAATTCTGCAGATAATGGAATAAGGATAAGAGGTAGTTTATACTGGGGGCAGGGCAACCCACATCCTCTTGCATGCTTTCTAGGTAACTAGGATTGTGGTGTGAGAAGGATTGGTGCTGAGGCTGATGGCCCTTCCCCCATCCACTGGGAACCGAAGCCAGCCTGTTAGCTGCTTATCTGCCTCTTCCTCACACTCCAGTCCTGCTTCCTGTGTTGGTTTCTACGTAATCCAGCAGGAAAAGCTGTCCCAGCTGTGGGCAAAACCCTTGTAGTGTTGGGAATCAGTTTGAGTATACTGGGTTATAAGTCTTCAATGTGATAGGCAGTAATTGGAGAGAATAAAATTCAGATGGTACTTTTCATACAAGCTGAGCACATTGTTGCAGTAAGAAGATACTGAAAGTTTTTCACTAGGCGTCTTTGACACATACAAAATGCTGATGCAGCTAATAGATTTCCCAAATCATAAAGCTCTCTAAAAAGAGAGTCTGAAAGGCTTTTCTGGTGAAACCAGTAACTTCTTTTTGCATGCTGCCCACTTCTTGTGGTTTAACCTGGCAGGCAACTAAGCACCACATAGCTGCTCGCTTTCACCATGGTGAGCACATGGTGTTTGCCTTGGTGGGTTTGTGGGCGTGTGATACAATCAGTCTGCCAGGCCTCTCCATATTTATATTTCGGCCACTATTGTCCATACCAGAGACACGTTAATCGCTTGGCTTGTTTGATCGCAGCATATGTTTCACATTCGTTAATAACCTGTGCCAGAGTGTCCATGGTCAAGTCTGCCCCTCGATCACGAGCCCATCTGTACGTTGCATCTCTTCCTTGACGTCCTGAGGTGTCGTGGGCCCACCGAGCTAGAAATAATTCACCCTTGTGTTGCCAGTCCAGATCCACCTGAGCTGCTTCAATCTTAGCAGCCTGATCCACCTGCTGGTTGTTTTGATGATCTTCAGCGGCCCAACTCTTGGGCACATGAGCATCTACGTGTCATACTTTTACAACCAGGTTCTCTACCCAGGCAGCAATACTTTGCCACAATGCAGCAGCCCAGATGGGTTTGCCTCTGCGCTACCAATTGTTCTGCTTCCATTGCTGCAACCACCCCCATGGGGCATTTGCCACCATCCATGAATCAGTATAGAGGCAGAGTACTGGCCATTTTTCTCGTTCAGCAATATCCAGAGCCAACTGGATGGCTTTCACTGCTGCGAACTGACTCAATTCACCTTCTCCTTCAGCAGTTTCTGCAACTTGTCGTATGTGACTCTGTACAGCAGCCTGCCACCTCCAATGCTTTCCCACAAGAAGACAGGACCCATCAGTGAACAGGGCATATTGCTTCTCATTTTCTGGTAGTTTATTAAACAGCGGGGCCTGTTCAGCACGCGCCACCTCCTCCTCTGGTGATATTCTGAAATCTTTGCCTTCTGTCCAGTCCATGATCACTTCCAAGATTCTAGCTATCTAACTCTATCCCAGCTGAAACGAGGACAATGCTGGAAGCAGAGATTTGTGTAGTGAAACAATTACCTTTAAAAAGATACTTCCACTTCAAACTGCAAAGCAGTAATAACAGATTTCATAAATTAGTGAGTTGCTTCCTGCTTTAGTAAAGTTCATAGTCATCTTTTTTCATCATATAACCAGAGACTTCTTCACTTACCACACTTTTGCTTCTAGAACTCAGACCTTAGAAAAACTTGCCTCTTAATGTTGCTGTTTGATGGAAATAAGTCCTCAGAAAATATCTGGGTAATCTGTGGGTTTGCCCAGGTTAAATAGCCTTCACAGGTGATACTGTATTTTCACATCAGCTAAGGTGAGATATATGAAGTTTACATGACAAGCTGCTCAAGACTGTCCTTCACAAAGAGTAGGAGAAGAAAGTTTGAGCCATAGTGGTGAGGACTGGTTACTTAACTGCAGAAGTAAGGAGATGAGTGGGCTGATTTACCCATTTCAAGTTTAGTACCAAGCTATCCAAGATCAGTCTCTCACAATAAACAGGCAAGTTGTTTTTCTGTCCTCAAGGAGGTACGTTACTGATATGGTAGAGATAAGAGGATTACGAGGCTTCCACTCCTGTATGGACCTGTCTGTGTCGGTGAAAAGGCACTCTCATTTCAGTGTGCTCGGGCAGGCGGTGGAGTGACCCTCCTAGAACAGGCTATGGATTTGCACATCCCAGAGGTAGAAGACATGGTGTCAAGTGGTGTATGCTGCATCAGAAAACTACACATCCTTTTTTTTTTGTTTGTAGACAGACTTGGAGGAAGAAAGACTGAAGCGAAAAATAGCTGACAGGACAATGAAAGACAAGCTACGCATCTACTCTCTGAGAATATTTATAAATGTAATTGTCATTGCAGTTTTATCAGCATGTTTCTACTCTATTTATAGAGTAACTGTCTTCTCTCAAGAAAATTCCAATGTAAGTATCAGACATGACATTAGGACAGATTAAATTGAGGGTGGTGATTACAGCAAGAGGAACTATTGTGAAAGAGTCAAGTATCTCAATATAGCACCGTTCATGCAAGGGATCTGAAAATGCTTTCTACAGACCTAGAGGTTTTTTAGTAGAGGAGAATGAGAAGGATCAAGAAGCATGTGCAAAAATATCCCAGTGATGTATCCCTTTGAAACAGAGGCTCCAGTGTCATCTGCCTTGGAGCTAATGCAGCTGACAAGAAAGGCAGCCCTTGCTTCTCGTCCCATGTAACTGTTCTCAGCTCTCTGTGATCTGCTCATGCAAGTGCTTGTGTGTCTGGGCAGTGAACTGGCTCAGGGAACTGATCTGGTTAAAATAAACTTCATCGTGATCAGTTTCTTGATCTGGTTCGCTGCTCAACTGCAAAAATGAACAGCAAGGGAAGGGGAGAGTAAAGATTACGATCTGTATTGTGGCTTGAGTTACAGCTGTGTGGGGAAACAGGAAGACTGAATGTGGAGCACTTCGCAGAAGAAAAGGTTCTTGCATCAGTAGTGGAAAAAAATTAGGTTGGGTGGGGTTTTTCCCCCCTGGC